AGGGAGGAAGAGGGGCAGTCCAGGACTCTTTCTGAGTCCTGTCCAGGGCTGGTGCCCCTCTCACACCCCTCTGGTTCTGCCATTGTGATTAACCTGTGGTTTCAGTGCCTGTGTTACTGGTACCCAGAGAGTGAGGGAAAGGAAGCCTCCTGATCTGGAGGCAGAGTAAACAGGAGCTGGACTTGAGGGGCAGCTGATTAGAACAAAGGGGCAGTTTTGGGATGGGCTTCATGACTGGGACTGGGGCCTGGCGGGGAGAAGGTGGGAAGGGGATAGAGAGGAAACCTGGAACTCGGAGTTGAGAGGGAGATGGTGCTGATTGGGCAAGAAGGTGGGAAACTCATAGGGGAGTCTGGGACAGGGTGGGCAGGGAGACCAAGGCTTGGAACTGGGGGAAGCTTGGAAGTTCATACATTGTAGAGCAGGAAAGGTCACCTGGTTTGGTCTCTGAGAAACCTGAGACTCTCTGGGCAAAGATGGGGACTCACAATGATAAGAAGGGAGTGTGGGGGATATGGAGTTAGTGATTACTAGGAGGAGACTGAAATAAGATACGGAACTGGTTGGGGAGATGGGCCTAGCTACGTTTGTGGGGTACTTGAAGGGACTAGGTCTGGAGAGAGAAAGAGAGTGGATTTGTTGAAAGAGATGGGATGAAAGGGGGTCTGTGGCTATAGGCATACACCTCCCTACTGAGTAGAGAACCAACACCAGATGCCTGAGCCTCCCTGTTCCTTCGCTGTCAGCAAATATCTGAGCAACCCACTGGCCATGTGTTCCTATCCTTCAGCTAGAACTGGTCCACACAAGGGATATGAATCACCCATTGCTATCAGCTAATCTGTTGTGTCCAACCATGACAGTCTGCCTGGTGGGTCTAAACAATCCCCACATTGCTGATAACCGTTTTGGATCTGAGCGTGATGCCATCTGAGGGAATGATGATGTTTCCACTTGCTTTTTTTTTTTTTAAGAGAAATGTACATGCACAGAAATGAAAATAATGTTATTGTGGTTGCAAAGCCATGCTCAGGAAAGCAGGAAAATCCCAGAATTAAGGTTGCTCATGTAAACTTATTTGTGGTCTTTTGTGCATTAATTTGGACCGAGTAATTATTTGTGTCACCACACTTTCTTTCTTGCAAGAGCCTGCCCCATTCCTTGGACAAGATGGACTTGCTTGCAGGAGGCTTCAAAGGGAGCAGTGCAGTGAAACTAGGTGTTGTCTATAGGACTCCTGCTCCATTTGGTTGCTGTGATTGGAAGGTGTGAAGTGAATGAGGCAGCAACTGCTGAATGTAACCCTGGAGGACTAAGATTCTGTCCCTGCTTCTGCTACTGACTCCCTTTGTGGTGCTGAGAATGTTATTTAAGCCAAAAGTTGTATGCTTCCTCTCAAGGCATGACTCGGGACCTGGGCCTGATGTAGAAAAGGGATGAGCACTTTCCACTGCCTCCTCAAATGACTGGCGTGACACAAAATAGAGCACCATACAGGGGCAGATCTGAGCAAATGCGAGGAGAGGCCGTATGGGGTGCCAGGGCAGCAGCACTGGCAGGGGGTGGGTCCCTGTTCCCTCCTCTTCCTCCACATTTCCCTCTATGGCTCAAGGACTCTAGCTCTATGGGGAGCAGTTGTGCAGAGTACTAGGCCAAATCCCAGTGATTTTGATCTTCATAAGACCACCTAGCTCTAAGACTCCCCCATCACCAGATCAGTCAGGGACACTGCCAGCCATGGGCAGGTCCCCACATCTTGAACCCAGACACAATCTGTAGGCAACCTCTTCTAGACAGGGGTCGAAGGGAATGGGAGGGGGAAGAGGTTCTTGTGCTGGAGGGGTGGGGGTGCTGAGAGGTTGGGGGTGAATCTTAACTGCTTCAGAGGCTCCAAAATGTCCCCAGCACCTGCTGCCATGGCATGTTCTGTCTTCTGGTGGGAAAGCTGCAACTTTCCCTGCAGCATGGGTTGAGTCTCCTGCACCCCTGTTTTTTGAATGTGTAGATCTACCCATGGCTCTGCACCCCATTCCATGGAAAGTGAAGGCCTGGAAGTTTCAGACTGGGCATCCAAAATGAATGTAACCTTTATCTCTCAGTGCATAGGAGTCCCACATCCAATGAGGATCACATAGCAACAAGCCACGTTTCCATGAGAAAATTAATAGTCATCTTCACAGGAGCCCTTGGCACTTTCATTTACCCACTTGTCACTTCAAGAGTGAGAACAGGTGAAAATGAAACCCATTCTGTTGACCTCCAAGGTCACCAAGTAATGAATAGAAATTCAGTGGGTTTAAAGTTACAGAACCTGGCATTTCAAGTAATAGCTCTGCCCTCTGCTAGGGTCTGCTTTAGCTTCCAAGACCAGGTGAATTTGGTGCAGTTCTAAAGGACTGAATGCACACCTTGTTACTCAAGGTACTCCTCATTAGACCCAGAGAACCCTTTAGAAAATGTCAGCTCTTAGTTTTCACTTATTTTTGGACTACAGAAAAATAGTAGAGCAATTTTTCTGTTGCAAAGAACTCAGAAAGACCACAACAGGTCAAGAATGTCTTTTAAGCTATGGATTCCTATTTAGTGTGTCTTGTGAATTTTCTGCAGGTATTTGCACATCTAACTGCTAATATCGTGCAGCACTCCATGGCACCCTTGAAAGGATCTCATGGCACCCTGACTGAGAATCACTCGTGTACACACATGCAAATATTCATGTGCAAATACACATGCACACATGCCATCCAAGAAATTTGCAAATAGCACTAGCTTTTGGCCAAATCCCAGTGATTTTGATCTTCATAAGACTTCCTGAGCCAATTTAAGCTTGTTTAATTCACGCAGGAACAGCTCTCAGCTGCTTGTGTCCATTATGTAACTTGCTTCCAGCCTCTGCTCACCTGTTCACACTTCAGGGACACTCCTTACCTTCTGGTTCAGAGAACCCTACCTGCAACACAAGCGTTGACATTAATTGGATCCGGTCAGCTTCAGGGCTGCTAACAGCAACTGAGATGAGCTGGAACAGGAGTCAGCAACCCACATCCTGTGGGCTGGATCTGACCTGTCAAGCAATTGCATCTGGTGTGGGGAGCTGGGATGTCAGTGGCAATTCTGCAGCACGGGAAAGTGGCACAGTGGCATTCCTCTGGGCCGCTGAACAGTTTTTTTGTGATGCTGCTTGTTGCTGCCCCAGCCCTCCCTGCTCTCTCTTTTTTATACTTATTGTAGCTATCCCTTCTTGCCACCAAATTCCTCACTGGTGGGACTTGGTGGCAACCAGAATTGGCAGTGAGGGGTAAGAGATGGCAGTGGCAGTGGCTGCAGTAAAGGGGGTGAGAGCAAGAGAGTAGCCCTTGGCTCTGATAGCTCGGTTGCAAACTTCCATGTTGAGAGCCCTATCCCCTACACTAACTGAGGTAGGACTTCAGTGGGAGAAGAATGCAGTGCGACCATGTAAGTTAAATCTTCAATAAAGATGCACCCACACAAGGGAAGGAAAGAGGTCCAGGGAGCTTTAATTCTGGCTTTTTAAGGACTGGGCTTTGCAACTTCACTAATTTTCTTTAACTTGTTTGTGTGTGTTTATACATGTCATTGTCTGCATTAGAGGAATAAATGGTGTTACGGATTTGTAAGTGAAATCTATCTCGAATACTGACAGGTCCCCTTCCTTTCTGCAGGAAGCAGCAAGGGGCACACACACAGACACACACACGAGTGGATACATGCATGCATGTGCACACACACACACACACACACAGAATAGGGTTGTATAACACACACACACTCACACGCACATGCACGTCATTTCCCAAAAGGGAATAGCAGAGGCCACTGAGTCCAGAGATGACAGAGGAAAGCAGTCAACCAGTTGGTGTGTCATTGATGAAGATTTCAGTCTCCACTGATAGTGATGGCCACAGGACACAGGACAAAAAGCAACCATTTATTTAAGCAGGGGAGGACTCACATTCTGGGGTGCTGCATCAGATCTGGTATGCCCAGAGAACAGAAATCATATCCCAACCCCACCCCCATGAGATAGATCATCCCATCTGGCCTATAGCTAAACAAGAACTCGGGCTCTCTACAGGAACAAGCCCTAAAGTACTTTATAACGCCCCACTCCCCACCCTGAGCCAGTCAGCTCATTGTCACAGTGTGTGCATGTTGGGAGAGATGGGGAGGCTGGACCAAAGTTGGTGATCTTGAAAGGGAAAAGAGGAAGGAAACGGATGTGGTAATGACCCCTAAGGGAGTCCCAGGACTTTGGAAGAGTCATTTAACCCTTCTATGCTTCCAGAGAAAGAAGAAATTAATACTGCCACAGTCTCTTGGCTGGGAGCTCACCAGAGCAGGGACTGGTTCTGGGTATGTGTCTGCACGGCACCCAACAAAACGGGGTCCCCAATCTCAAGTCTTGGGCATCACCTGGTTTAGGAGGGGGCCCCCAATCTTGGTCATTGTCTGTTCAGTGCCAGTCATAATGACTGGAGGTTAGATTATGGATTGTATAGGATGGTTTGAATATGGATGAGCCTGCCTCAGGCAGGGGTTTAGACTAGATGACCTATGGAGATCCCTTCCAACCCAACTTCTTTACCATTTCTATGACCAGCCTTGGCTGGGGGGATGGGATCTGTGCAGCATTAGAGACAACAAGGATTCCCATATTACCAGGAAAAAAAACAACTCATTCCCTTATCACTGATTTTTTAGAGGCTGGAGGGAGGGAGTGGGGGAAGAAGTGCAAGGATCAGGCTTGTTAGTGAGTCCAATGTTATTCACAGTTAGTAGCTCATTCTTATTGGTCACTGCTGGTGCCTCAGCAGAGATTTCTTTAGGTCTTATGATCCTTGGTTTTCTCCCCTCAGCAGTTGGTGGTGGGAAGGAAAAGAGGTGTACAGAACAAGGTAATGCGTTTGTCCTGTCCAGCCTTATCGCCAAATATAAAAAAAAATCATACTTTTCTGGCAAATTCTCCAGTTCTGTTAATTTACACCTCACCCCTGTTAAGGAGGCAGCCATCCATCTGGGTCTTCTAAGGGCTGGCTGAAGGTGGTAGGAGCTGTCAGCACCCATCCAACGTGGTCTCCACTGACAATCCTGTTGGGGCGATGTTCTCATCATTCTCATTCCTCACCACCTTCATCTCCACCTCCTCACGCTGCTGGGTGGACCGACCAGTACCTTGCCGTAAGCTGGGTATCTCAGAGCTTGTGCCATCAAACAGCTTGGCCATGAAGCCCACACCTGCTGCCTTGAGCAAGCTGCTACCCGTGAAGGTATAGAGGATGGGGTTGATGCTGCTGCTGAAGAAAGCCAGAGCAATCAGGGTAGGCTGTGCCTTCCCTCCAGCCTGCGTGACACTTTTTAAGCCACTCAGTTTTCCGACCACCTCAAGGATGTTCACAAAGTGATAGGGCAGCCAGAAGACAGCGAAGGCCACCACAATGACTGTGATGAGCCGGCTGGTGCGGCGCTTCCTCCGGAAACGCGTCTCCTTCAGCCGGTGCCCGATGACGATGTAACAGCAGATGATAATGAAAAAGGGCAGTATGCAGCCGGTCAGGATCTCAAAGAGTTTGTGGAAAACTAAATGTTGCTGATTATCATGAGATAGCTTGCAGATGAAGCGGCCAGAGTAATTTTCCAATCGGCGGTAGAAGATGACGGGGATGGCAAGGAGGAAAGACAACAGCCATATAACTAGGACCAAGGACCTGGCTACTACCTTGGTGCGGATGTTCTGGGAGAGGAAAGGCTTGGAAACAGCCAGGCAGCGGTCAAGACTCATGAGGACAATGAGGTAGACGCTGGCATACATGCACACCCCACAGATATAGTAGCACATCTGGCAGATGAAAAGACCAAACTCCCATTGCCCGATGCTCAGCAGCCGGAGGAAAAAGGGTGCAGTGAGCAGTGTGGCCCCATCAGCCACGGCCAAGTGCAGTATCAGGAGGCTGGTGACAGTGTGCTTCCGGACAAGGCAGGCTGCACTCCATATTACAAAGGCATTTCCTGGGAAGCCAAGGATAAATGCCAGGGACAGCACTACCAGCCCTATCGTTCTGCCAGACAGTGGGGATGTCTGTTCTGAAAGAGGCACTGAGGTAGAGAGGGTGTCATTCTCCATTGAGGTAGGCAAAGGGTCTGTGGGAAGGTGAAGGAGCAGGAATAATTGAGGGGTCCATAAATCAATAGGCCCCCATCCTCTCCCCCCCCCACACACCTTTTCCCTTCTCTCACACAGGCTCTAGCTGCCTATTCATCCTTCCCATCCATACGTATCCCTTTGTCCATATGTACCCACCCGCCATCCCAATACACACCCTATTCTTCTGCCATTCATCCCCAGAAGTATTACTTCACCCATCCCATCCACATCGCCCCCACTCCCCACCCACATTTGCTTCTATTCACTCATCCATTCATCTGTGCAGTCCAATGCACACATTCATGATCACATCTATCTATCTATCTATCCCTGCCCAAACCCATCTATTTTTTCTCTACATGGCTGTCTCACTTCCTCTTCCCCCAGCTCCAGCTAGCAACCTGGCTTCTTGTGATAACAGGACAGGATGTATGAGTGACCAGAGCAATTTCCCCAATGCAAGGTCCCAGCATGGTATCAACTCCTATACTCCTCACTTCAGAGTAAATGGCAGGAGGGGAGTACAGTAGGAGGCTCAGAGTGAGGGTGCCTCTTGGCTGCCATAGAGAGAAGTGAAAAGACAATCCAGGAGGTACTCAGGGATGGAGGTGGCTCTCACCCCTGGTACAGCAGCTTGGCTCTCACATGTCCAGCCAATCAATGCCATTAACCATCCCCACTGCCCAAAAGCAGAAAAGGAGGCAGATGGAAGTGGAGATAAATTTAGAAAAATCACATGTCTTCCCTTACACCTATCTACATACCTCTGCTAGTGCCCATCCCTTCCCCCACCCCGCCACTAACCCACTTACTGCACCCCCCCCTCCCTCCCTCCCTCGGGATTCCCCCAAAGCTCTGTGAGTGACTTACCCCTAGGCTCAACCCTCAGCTCCTGCCTTCCCTAGGGTCCCCCAGCCACCCTCACTTATAACCTGTGGTCTCCTGCTACCCCAGCAATCACCTCTCCCCTTAGCTCCCCAGTGCCCCTCACTCCCGAGCTGCTGCTCCCTGCTTCCCCAGCTCTGGGCTCCTCTCATATCTTGGAAAGAGCTGACCACTTACAGTTAGTTTTTCCTTAGTGGACTCTGTCCCTGGGGAGGGTTCCTCCAGGTGCCTCAGTCCTGGGCTTGCTGGTGTGTGTGTCACAGTCTGAGCATCTGAAGGAAGTGCTAGGAGCCTTATGCAAGCCACAGTGCATCCCAGCCTCCACCCTCCCCCAGTACTTTCACAATCAGACTTCTGTGCTTCAGAGGGAGGGGTCAGGTGTAAAGAAGGCGGCACCTGGTTTGGAACCCAAGAGTCTGGCTCAGGGGTATCAAGCCAAGCAGGGGCATTGGGGTAGCACTTACTGCAGAGCAGAAATGGCCCCTACTGAGTCCCCCCACCCCTTCCCCACAACTCAGTGTTCCTAGTATTGAATTAGGATATCTTGGTCAGTATGGACTGAAGGGACAAAGCCCCCTACTGTCCGTGCTTACTCCCTGGGACATGGGTACAGCACTGAGGCACTTGGGGGGGGGGGAGTACCTACTGAATTCCTGCCCTGGGACCTACAACAGAGAGACCCCTGGTATCATGCTGGGATCCTAGGATCATCAAAAACTGTAAGGAGATGGAGTCAGAACCCTTTCCCCCGCTTCCCACCTGGTGTAGTTTGGATGCAGGGTGAGGTAAATGGGAAGAGTATTGACTCAGCAGCTGAATCACCTCCCCCACTTCCTGTGGCTTGGAAATGGCCCAACTTTTACTCTGCCTGGCTTGGGTGATCTGCAAGGACACCGACCTTGCAAATATCTGTTGGCTCAACAATATATTGGAACCTGTGTTCCTGGCTTCCTGGCAGTGGCATAACTAAGGGTGCAGTGACTGGGAAACCTCCCCAAGTGCTGACTTGGGGAAAGGAGGCGAGAAGACAAAAAGCAGCTGTCTCTGGCAGCACAGTGGGAACTGGAAGTCATTATTGCCCTTCTGCCCCAGGCACCTGGCCACACTGCTATGTTGCTGACTTCGGGCCTCTCTTTCCCTATCCCACCAACTCTGACTCACTACCCACCCCCTTCTTGTCCCCCTAGCAGCCCTTTAGGCCCAGAGATGGACACCAAGATTCACTGGTATCCACTCCTACCTCTTCTTATCCAATAGATTCTACTTGTGTCCAAAAACTGCAGCCATTTGCCTTAAAATATCTACTCTAGCCCAAAAGACCCCCAGCCCTCCCAGCATGGACATAAAACTCCTTCTCTTCAATTCTCTTTTCCTTGACCAAATACAAATCACCCTACAATAAGCAGATAAGATCCTTTATTGATTTTCTAAAATGGTGCGGGTACACCTGATTGAGGAATGAATTTTCACCCCTTCCAAGGTACTTTATAAAACTGTTTATTGCAAATATTTCAGTAGAATACATTGATGGGCTAATAATACCAGGAGAGTCTCAATATCTGTCTGTCCTTCCATCCATCCTCATGCATACAGTCTATGTACCTGTTTCTAAACATTCAAATTAAAGTGATCTCTAATAAAATGAAACCTAAAAATGTAATACTGAAAGGATCTGTGAAATGCTGTGCGAACCATTGGGCTGAAGTTCCGTAGTGTAGCTGGGAGAGATGGGTAGGTCACGCCATGTAACAATATGGATGGCATAAGGCACGTTTACACATGCAATTAATGCAAAGCAATAAACTCCAGAGTTGATTGCTCTGGAGTGTATTGTTCCTGTGTGTGCCATTTGAACATGCACTTGGGAGCAATAAACTCCGAAGCAATAAATTCCAGCGTTTATTGTCATTTGAACATGCATCCAGGATTGCAGCATGTTGAGCCGGGTCAAAGCAGCCTCAGCTGGCAGGAAGCCTGAGGGGTCAGCCTGCCAGCCTGGGGCTGCTCCGCTTGGCTCAACCCTCTGTGGAAGGGCTGGCCGGGGCACATGGGTGCTTCAGCGTCAGGGCCGGATTAATGAATAGGCAAACTAGGAACATGCCTAGGGTCCTTCCCTCCGTGGTGGTGGCACAAATGACCCAATCCGCCTCCTGTCCCTTCCCTTCCCCTCCCCTCCCCTCTGCTGGCCTTGCCACAGTGGTGGCCGCTTCCTAGAGGTGGTTCTGAGCTGCACTCCCCACAGGCAGCAGTACCAGGGTTGGGAGAGAGGTCTTGACCAGCCCGGGGCCCACAAGTTTCTTCGCCCAAGGACCACTAAAGGGTTAATCTGCCCTGTTTAGCATAGGGCTAACCTATAGGCATCCCCCACACTGAAGCACCCTCATGCCCCAGGCAGCATCCAGTCCTGTGAATTTTTTTACTCTGCCACAGCATAGTACTCGTATTTACAAGTGCTAATCTGCTGCAGAGGAAATTAGTTTACTCCAGCCTAATAGGGTTGCACATGTATATGCCAAGATGTTTACTATGCAGCTAATTAATCTACCGTGCAGGATCTACATCCTGTGTAGATTTTCCCAGTCAGCTAATATCAGAGGCATGAGTTATAGGTTTTGTATAACTTTTGTAGGGATCCTAATCATGATCCAGCTCCCCTATCATGCCAGGTGTTGTACAGACCCCAGGTGTAATTAGGCCTCCAAACGAACCCTCTTCACAATGAGAAGAAATCTATGGAGCTTAAGGAGACAAAGTATATTATGGAAAACGGAGGTGCCACTCTGAAAAAGAGAAGCTTACTCACGGATAGGCCTACTACACATCATCCTCTCCTGCTTCTCCCACATATGACCAGAGGGATCTGCTGCCATTAATACAGGTAGCGGAGTGATAATATCAGAAAACTCCCCTTTAAGAGGATATTAAAGGGGAAAAGCCCACAAAATTTAGCTTTACAGTAAAATTTAGTTTTCTTAAAGGGAATGTGTCCATGAGGACCATCTGGCAGCAAGAAACTTCATCTTTCAAGAAAAAGTGTCTGTGCAGTACTGTGGGTAAACACTGCATTTTAACAGGCAGCATGATGCTGGAAGGCATCCGTATTTAGCAGTGATTACCTTCCCTTTAGGAGTAAGTTAAAGAAAAAAAAGTGTCCATGAAGATTAGATTCTGGCAGTACAAACCTCTTCTCTTAAAAAGGGGAAATCTCTATGCGAGTCACAGCATGGCAATAAAGAGTCTGCTCTTAAAGGTGAAGTCACTGTAAGGACCAGAATATGGCAGTCAGAACCTGTACTCTTAAAGGGGAAGCCTCCATTAGTACCAGAGTTTGAGAAAATGCACCCTTAAACAGAAAATGTCCATGACAGATGGAGTCTGGCAATTAAAAAATACCTGCACATGGGACTAAGTGCATAAAGCTTGGTAGAGACATCACCCAAGGGGTGAAGCCTGACCCACAGCTCCATCTTGCTGTGTCCTCTGGGCTCCTGCCTCCACTTTCCCCATCAACATGCCCTCTTCCCCCACTACCAGGTCCTTATCCAGGTCCCTCTGGGACTGGGATTTCTTGTTCATCTCCCCAGAGGCTCCCTCAAAGAACTGAGCAATGAACTTGGCTCCTGAGGTCTTAATTAGGTCTCCGGCAGCAAAGACATAGAGGACAGGATTGATGCTGCTGCTAAGGAAAGCCAGTGCTGTGGCCCCTACCCTTCCAGACTTCCAGGCATTGGTCAGCCTCTCTGCTGCCTCCCCAGAGGTCAAGTTCGAGGCCACCTGCAGGATGTTGACCACGTGGTAGGGCACCCAAAGGACAGTGAAACAAATCACAATGGCAGCAATGAGCTTTTCTGTCCGAGCACCTCGGCGTTTCCATTGTCTTCCCTGGACTTTCACCAAGATGGCAGAATAGCACCCTATGATGATGCCATAGGGGACCAAAAAGGCCACTGTGGTCTCCATGGTGAAGTGGAAGATGGCCAATGCTGGCTTGGCATGGCAGGGCTCACAAGTGTACCGATTCCAGGACTTATACTCCACTACCCGACGGTAGATGAAGGCTGGGACTGCCAACAAGATGGCCACTAACCAAATGACAGCCAATATTTTCACCACCAGGTGCTTCTTGCGGATGGCTTGAGAGAGGTAAGGCCGGTAGACAGCCAAGCACCGGTCTACGCTCATGAGGGTGATAATAAAGATGCTAGTGTACATGTTGATACAACAAAGGTAGTAGACGCCCTTGCAGATGTGTTCTCCAAAGAACCAGCCCTCAAAGATGAGGAAGAGGATGAAGAAAGGCGTGAGGAGCAGGACAATGCTGTCAGCCAAGGCCAAATTGAGGACAAGGAGGCAGGTGACAGAGCGACGGCTGGGCTTCATTTTCCACAGGATACTCCAAACGACAAAAAAATTTCCTGGCAAGCCAATGAGAGCAGCTAGAAGGAGGAATATTGTCCCTGCTACTCTGGAAGTTGTGAAGTTCAGGAGGGTGATGTTGCCAGCAGTATGGAGGCACTGGTTCATGCTGATATGAGGTGGGGTGAGAGGAGTCTCCCTACATGAAGGAAAAGAGAAAGAGCGGCAGTGAAGGTGGAGCTGGGTTTAGAAAGTCTAGAACTGGATGAAATACTGTGTAATGACAGAACAGGAGAGAGAGAGAGAGAGAGAGAGAGAGAGAGAGAGCTGTATGGAGATGGCACAGTAGACAGGCAAGCAGATTGGTAGATTCGTATGGAGATAGAAAGAGAAAGGGATAAGATAGTTGAAGACAGAGGGAAAATGTAGGTGACTGGGTAAAAATAGGGATGTGTAGGGGAGATAATTAAACTAGTAGTAGAGAAAGAATTAATTTAATAGAGAGAATACAAGAAAGACATAGGAGTTTTTACCCTATCCCTCAGTTACCTTTCAAAACCCCTGACAGTGACCCTTCATCAAGACCTATAGTCCCCTGTTTTACAGCCTTGGGCTTCTCCCCAGTCCTCCCCCTCACTCCCGAACCACAGCCCTTCCACAAGCTCAGCACTGCACTTCTCTGTACCTACAGCTCCACCAACGGCCCTCAGCCCTGATGCAGTGTCACTTACGCCATTGAGATGCCTCCAAGACCAGCTGGTGGGTCCCGTCTTCCACTAACCCATTTACTCCATGGTCTCTCTGGGGAGGAAAGTGTCTGTCAGTCTTGGTGGAGACTAGACTGGAGCAGCTGAGTAATAGAGGAGCCTTGAGGCATAGGGCTGGGACTGCCTGACGCGGGAGTGGTTGGCTGGATTCGCCGTGCTCTCCACCACTCCCTCCAGCCTCAAGTCAGGGCACGTTGGGAGAGCTGGGAAGCACCCAGGAATGTGCAGGAATACAGGTGGCTGTTCTCGGACTCACCCTTTTTCTCCTCCTTGCGCTTGCCTCCCAGAGGCAGTGATCAGGACTTACAAGAAAAAGGATGAATAGGCAGGATGAGTGTTCCACTGATAAGCTTCCTCAGTCTCTTCGGGAAGGGAAACTGCAGGCTTTCTAAGAAAACGACCGCTCCCACAGCTCTGCTGATGCTCCTCCATTTAGTCCTCATCTCCCCCACAGCCCCACTTCTGTTCATGCCCTTAACTCCCGATCCGCAGCCCTCTGCTAACTCAGCCTTGACATCCCATGTAATTCTGCCAGCGCTCACTACCTCCCACTCACAGCCTGCATTTTCTTTGCCCTGGCTGGCAGCTCCTATTCTTCCATGAGAGTTTACCCCCTTAATACGGTTCAAAAAGAATCCCTCTGGGAGTCTGTTGCTATTACACCAATCTGCCTTCCTTGAGGAAAATTTTGCCTTGTATAATGTGCCCCAGCAGCTCATGGGGAAGTTTCATGCCTGGCTTCATCCTGTTCCTGCTGGAACTCAAAAGTGGAGTTCCATGGTCAGACCTCACCCCTCTGCTCCTCACTGGGGCTGGGGGTTTTGGCAAAGGTGTCTGTTCTCCTGACCGGCCTGGAGAGGAGACTGAGTATAAAAGAGCCTGCAGGGAGGCTTCCTGTCAGCTGGGATAAAACCCACCACCCCTTTCTAACCACTAGATCCCACTCCTCACCCAAAGCTGGGGCAGAGCCCAGAAGTTCTAGTTAACACTACTCTGCCCTGCACTAGCATACTAGACCCCAGTCCCCTCTTACAGCTAGGGACAGACACAGGAGTACTGGATCCCAGTCCATTCCACTCCAAACCAATAAGCCCTTCTCCCCTCCTAGACCTGGGGTGGAATCCAGGATTTCACCCCACCATTCACCCATTAGACCCACAGTTTCAGGCTATGAGTATCCCTTTTCCCCCCTCTTGGTAAGTCTGGGCTCTGCTGCCTCCTGCAGAAGGGAATGAGCCCTAGTCCATGTAGCTCTGGAGTCTGAACCCCTCCTGCCCTCTGCTGAAAGGGTTAAGGTGTGCTGTGTGCATGTCTGTACAATTATTGTATAGCATCACTTAGGAAAAAGTCTCTGAAATACCTTCCTGGGGCATCACCTGATACATTACACAGTTGGAACCATATAGTCTCAGGGATTCTTACATTATCTTATATCTATGACCCTCTGTATGGATGAGGGCACTACATCTCACCCAGTTACACCTGGATGGATCCCCCTCATTTGAAAGTGCTTAAAGCATACCAGCCAGAGGCACCCCACCTGGGTTAAAAGCCGTCAGGTGATGGAAACTCCCATTTCCCTTTGGAGTTTGTTCCAAGGGTTTATGACCCTCATGGTGAAAATATGTTCCTCATTTCTGTTTGGAATTTGTCTGGATTTAACTCCCAAACACTGGTTCTTGTTCTGGGTTGCATCCCAGATTAAAAGGCTCTATAGTAACCACCCATTTATCTTATGCCCCCCTATCTACTCATCTCTTCGTAAATTAAATAGATTTTAAGCATCCTGCTATAAAAACCTTTTCCTCGTCCTTTCCACATCCTCCCCAGTTTTTGAACACCTTTTTTACACTGTGAACACCAGGGGCCAGATTTTATTCCACCTATTAGGTACAAAAGTGGATTGATTTATATTCCACCCTGCTCCAGTCCAAAATAAACTATTAATGCAAAAGGTAGGTGGATCTTTACCTTCCTCCTTGCTGCTTTTTTGTGACTCAATCATAAGAGTCAAATGACAGTCTCTTACAAAGTTAGCGCTGAACCTTGCTAACCTCATCACCAGAAGCAAACTTCCTACAGCCCAAAACACTCTGAATGGATGCAGAACATGCCATGACAAGAAATGCAAAACCTGCCAACATATCTCCACCACCCCCACAATTACTACACCCCACAACAGAGGCATCAGCATTCCTGGATCTTACAGCTGCACCTCCAGAAATGTAATATACCTCATCCAATGCACCAAATGCCCTGATAGACAATACCTAGGAGAGACCAAACAACAACAGTGCACCAGAATGAATGTACACTGGAAATCTATTAAAGACAAAAATACCCAATGACCGGTGGGGGCACAGTTCTCACAAGAAAGCCACTCTCTCTCCAATCTCTCAGTTCTAATCCTTAAAGGGAATTTACATAATACTGTTCACAGACGAGTCTCTGAACTTCACCTCATCAACCTCCTGGATACAAAAAATCATGGACTAAATATAGACATTGAATTTATGACACATTATAATATAACCCGGGCGGTACTCCAAGAGGTACCCCCTCTCCAATTGAAGGGATCAGAGCAGGTGCACAAGCATTGTGGGATGTGTAGGGACTCTCCTCCCCCTGTAGAGCAGAGCCAGACCACCACTGGGGACTTAACCATATATCTTTTAATAAGGGAACAATACTAGGAACATAACAGGCATAATCAGGGGGTATAGTGGACACCACAATGCCCCAAGGGGGCAGGATTCAACACAGGTTAGACACTTACAATCATTGGCAAAAGACAGGGTTAACAAAATATAAAACACAAACAGCAGAGCAAACAATACTGGTTGGGGAAATATAAAAAGGCACAAAATACAAAATGTCAAAGGACAAAGAAATATAGGGCCTGGGTACCTTCAAAGGGGAGAAAGGAGGAAAACACAATGGCCCCTTTCCACTGCAAGAGGAATTTCTTCTTTTTAGCTCACTCACCCCAAGTCACCAAAGCTGGGACTCAGATCTCCCACATGGTAGGCAGGAACAGTGCCACATAGCCACCAGTTCTGATACTGCTTTATTCTGCTAGGGATCTTGACCTTCCTGGAGCCCCGGCCTCGGGTCGAGCTGCCTGGCGTCTGATTGGAGGAGCTAGAAGCCAAGCTGGGAACCCCTCAGGTCACTGCTCAGATCCTCCTACTGGCCACAGCCTCTCATAGGAGATCCTGGAGCCGATCCTGGAGCCCAGCAGAAAGCCTCCTCTGCCGGCCACATGCCGTGCTGCTGAGGGTCCAACTGCTGCCTGCAGGTCCTGCTCCTTCAGGCTCTTCTGGGGCAACTACTTCCGCCCCGCTGGCTCAGCTCTTGCCAGCTCTTTGAAGCTCCTTCCTCATAGTCCCTCACTGGTCTCTCCCCTGAGTCAGCCGTGCTGCCCCTTTTATCCCCCTCCAGGGGACCCAAGGGGCCAATCATGGGACATGAGGGGTGAATCTCTGGGGCCTGATTGGTGAGGAAAGGGAATCCCAAGTCCTCCAACCATCTTTTACCCCTTCAAAACCCCTGGGCTAGGTCACTGCCAGCTAGCCCGTCACAATAACTTGCTTGACATCTGACTCCCCAGGTGCCTCTCCACTATTTACCTGCTACATTCATCCCCCTCCCCTCCCCCCCAGCCTTTCCACTGACTTCTTAATTTACATCCTCACTGACTGGCTTTCTTGCATGCAGACCAGCATCTGGCTTCTTTACTATTCATTCCATACGGGAAGAGCACACACCAACTACAGATGCTTCCTCAGCCTGACAAAGGGTTTTTAAACCTGAAAGCTTGCTAAGAAAAAAATGTCCAACTATTTAGTTGGTCTAATAAAAGATATCAGATTTACCCAAAGAACCTTGTCAGCCTCTTACAAAAGCAGATGTATTAATGGCTTTTTAGGGACTTGAGCAGGTGGAATAGGATCATATTTAGTGACCTAAATCTACTTAGATACCTAATAGTGGAATAGTTTCTGGCTCCAGAACTATGTACAGTTTTCCAGTTATGGTCTTCACAATACCATTTGTGGTGGTAAAATTACCTCCCTAGACCTAAAGGTAGGCAGTCTTTGGGTAGATGCGATATCTTGTATTAGAAAACAAATAGCTGCAAAAAAGTTGTTACTTTTTGCAGCTATTTAGTTGATCTAATAAAAGAAATTGCCTCTGTCCAAAGACTTTGCCAAATTGCCAGCCTTCTGTACTCAGACCAATATGGCTACTGCCTGTATCCCTAGACCTATGCACAGCTTCCCTGTGCATTTGTCTGAGGGTCACTGTGACAATGCCAGCACTATGGTCTGGTGTCCCTTGTGACAACAGCACTATGACCTGGTTGTCCCTCCTCTTGCCCTCCCTGAGGAGAACTGTTCCCAGATGGGGTGCTTGCCCACTAACGACTTGACGGAAAAAGTCTATACTATTCTGCCTCTGTGGGGGATGATGACTTATCCAGTTGGGGAAGACTCAGTGTGTTCCTGAATGCCATTTGGCAAAACCCTTATGGGGTCTAGATCGGGAGTTCCTCCACCACTACACTCCTGCCACTGGCTTCCATATGGCTCCTTGATCACACCAGACCTGGGCTCCAGTTGTTGCATTGATCACACTCTGACCATCTAGCCAGCCTTGGAACATCTTAACAATGCCTCCCCTGGACTCATATCTGGAGTTCCCAGCAGTTCATCTAGTATGAAAATAAAGAAACATGGGCAGTCTGGCTGCCTCTCACCTTCTTCTTGTGTGTGTCTTCATCGGTCGTCTGAGAGTTCCTCCCGTCATTTCTGGCAGCCTTTTACCTCTGCCCCAAGGCACGTCTAGCCAGTCAGCATCAGGGCTCACCTCCCAGCTGTGGCTTGTGCCCCCTGTGGGAGGAGTGCCCATCTGAAGTGAGTCAGGGCCAGGGTTCTTCTCATCCAGGACCCCAGGTTCCCTGGGGCTCAGCGTGCAGTCTGAGAGACTCCCGGCCAGGGCCTCTCTCCCTGGTAATTGCAGTTTCCCTGCCGTGACTTCCAGCGAGCAGCACTCTGGCTGTGTCTCCTGTGGCACTACATCTAACGCTCTGGCCACATTGCCCCAAGCCAGGAGGGCTTTTCATTAGCAAATAAAAAAAGAGGCAGCAAGCGGGGATTTCTCTTTCCTTAATGCCCTCACCCTGCTACAGTCACACGTGCAATTTTGGCAGTAGTGTTACAGCTTGTGTTTAGTGGCTTGTCCACTCGGACCCCCTAAATTAATATTTTCCAATTTTTTTATACTTGGGGCATATTTTTTTCTGTAGTAAAACTGGTGGCACACTTCACTCTTACACCTCAGAAATATAGAACATATTCCATTCCCTTGCCAGAAGAAATCAATCCAG